CGTGAATAGAAATTTTAAATTGGATCATACTCGAGTGATAAAATAAATCATGTTATATGGATGAGCGGTGTAACTAAAACAGAGCAAAATTGTAGAACTCACTTCCTCAACAAATGTTTTAGCTTCAGTGTTGAGGCTATCAATTTTCGCCTTTACGAAGTTCCTCAGCTCGATTGCTTTGTTGTAAAGTTTTTCAGATTTTTCCTTGAATGCTTGAAGTACTGCATCTTCGTTCGCGAAAGATGCGTGATTGCTAGCTAGCTCACGAAGAATTTGCTTATCTTCTGGGGTTAGATCGTTGTAAAAATTCGTTACTTCTTGCGGCGCGAATTCTGAATATCCTTATATTTTTTTAACTGCTGTTAATGAACTGCAAAAGTATCAGAAATACAATGCAAAAGATGGAACTTGGATTGATTCTACAAGTACTTTTGAAGTGAAATATTTCATTAAAAAGGTGAATAAATAGGTGAAGTCGAATATACCTAACCTTTGTATTCTTCCATAATGTTACTTATCGAAATAGGAATAACACTTGCTAAAGTGCTTGCAATTAAACCCAACAGAATCACTTGATGATACATTTTCAATGCTTATGGTACTTCTTGCTAACTTGCGCACAAACTTCAAGATTTCTAAATGCAATCGTATCAATACATAAACAAAACTGACACTTTCTTCTACAAGATGACGCTTTGAAAAGTCAAAGTGCACTGCTGTAGTTTGATAAAATAAAGCAATGAGTCGTCATTTTCGTCTTGGTTATATTTATGAGTTTTTTCTATTAAGTTTTCTGAATATCCAAGCAAAACAAATTTTACTAAATATACATATTTGTATAACATTGCACATTTTTGATCTATATCTTGCAAAGCAAATGCTGCACGTGTATGCAAGTATAGAAACACGTAAGATACAAAAATGCGACGCCAGCCAAAAGGTGCAAAAGATAAAACAATTCGTGAAGATGCAGGAAGTTTACACGTTAGCTGCTCACTGCTTGCTGCAATTACAGCTTCAAATAACTGCATACGTTTCATATTCACATTAATTCAAAAGAAAACTTTTAATTTGGAAATGTTTAGCGGCGAAAAGCAAAGCATTGTAGCATAATTTCAAATAATTTCATGCAGTTTTGTTACAATCGTTTAATGCTTTTTACAGTATGCAAACCCTATTATCATATAACTGTAGTGATATGATAATAGAGTTTCACTAGTATTGAAGTAAATCTTTCCAGCCCCAGTCGAATAGTTTGCAATAATGTTAGCTACTAGATGTGAATTAGACTGGAATATCAAAAATGGTACAAATAGTATTTGAGAGCAAGAAGGACTGCTTCTGTGCATTTCTGTAGAAAAAGTTTGCAAGAGTGAAAAGAAAATGATGACTGCTGCACATTTTATGTTCATATATTTTTTCTATTCCGTACATTTATCAATTATTCATTTTGTGATCTAGCGAGGTTGGCATCTGTGTTTTCTAGTAGTTATCGGTGCATTTGTTAAAGTCATTCTGAATTTCTCTCTAGATCGTTTCATATCATATATATAGACAGCTATAAATGAGTCAGATCATAAAAATAAACTTTGGTGGGAAATTTAAAAACGATGATGACTGATTGATTGCATTATTGAAAAGTCAGACATTGCTTTATTTGCAGATATGTACTTGACGTGGGGTACACTTTATACATCAGCTTACTTGCACACATGCTGTCAAAAGTATACTTATACAATGAACTCTCAAGAATTTCTTCTTGTCGATTGTTGAAAACACATTGGCATAGTAGCTACATCACATAGCTATTATCAATCTGTTTATAGCGAACTGTTGTATTTTACAATGATTTACAGTAAAGGGAATAATAAAATGAGCAATTTGAAAACTATTATAATTATAGAGATGAAATTAAGCAAGTAGTAATTTGAATACTAACTAAACTAAGTAATACTAATAAAAGTCAATTAATGAATGAATGAATTAATTAATTAATTGATTAATTAATCAGTTGATTCATTTGTTGTTGAATATTGAAATAAGAATTGACTTAATGGATATTACAAGTTGAAAATGATGAAAAAATGAAAATCATTTTTTCGAGACGTTGAGTTTAGTTTGAAAAAGTTGTAAAATTGTAGAAGGTTGAAATGGGGATGTGAAGAACAGACAAAAGCTGCGCCTTGAAGGCAAAATGAATACTTGTGCAAATGGCACCTGAGAGTATTTATATTAAGTAAGAAGAGCCTCCAGAAGTCCAGCCAAAGAATCAGTGATCATTATTTCTGCCATCAATCAGTTAAGCAACTGTTGTCTGCAATTAATTAACATTTATCTTTCTTTCATCTGACACCCCACTCTTTGTTGCTTGCACAATTTCACTTACACAACCATTGAGTTTCACATTTTATAGCATCTTCTAACAGACACACATGCACATATATATATAATGTATTTATATATATACATAGGCTTCTTTTATGAAGAAATAGGAAGACTAACGACCGAGAATGATTATTAATCACTACTATCACTTGCAGTTTGAAATGCATCGGCTAACTTCAACACCTGCAAACGATGATCTTTTGAATGCAAAGATTTGCTTTTGGCTCACATCTACTTTTACAATGTCTGTTTCAGTCATCAATTATTCATTCATACATTCAATCACTCACTCATTCATACAATTATTCATCCGTTCATTCATTCATCTGTTCATTCATTCATCTGTTCATTCATTCATCCGTTCATTCAGTCATTCATTTATTCAGTTGAAACTGTACTTCTTGCATTGCAAATGATGCAGTTCATTCTCACTTTCCTTCCAAAACTCATTACCTAAACCAAAGAAGCTTTACTCCTTCTTCTGCAAATAAATGCTAACATTCAGCAATTTCCAATAATTTCTAGCGACCTACTTTGTATTCCCCATACAATCAGTGTAATGTCTCTCAGTAATTGTTATCACTCATATTTGATGTTAAAATTCTAACCTTTGCTCACATCTATACTTGAAAAAATTCTTTGCTGCTAATGAGATACTAATTTGAGGCAGCAAATGTCTGCACCTTTTGGCACAAACTATTAACCTTAATTTATTGCAAAGACGGATATGATCAAAGAAATTGAACAAATTGCTCTTACTAACTTTACCTTACAGAACTTGCCCCAAGAAAGCGTACAAACTGACACAATCTCGAGAATCTAATCTAAATTTTTTACAATTCTTAAACTTTTCTCGATAGTGTTACAAGAATACACACTCTCCTTGAAGAGTTAACCAGTCTATCTTTATTATTTTACTGAAAAATTACAAGAATTTAAAATAAACTAATGATATAGTATCAGTTTTTACAAAATTGAAAGTGCAATAGATTAAAAACACAGAATTATGCAGTATAAAATGGCAACAGGATAAAAGCACTTCACCAACGAAGAAACTCACTACGATTTTCAATTACGTTCAGAGAGAATACAGAAAACAACAAACTACCACAAATTAATAACTCCACTCCGACAATTATTTTGACTGGAAACGTGAAAACACACAAACAAAGCCAGATTATAATTTTCAATTCTGGTTTAGGTAGCTACTCAAATTAATATTCCATTTCTAGACCTATGTATTGATTAAATTATATTTTTTACTGTTTCGACAGTCAGACTGATTGATAATCTGTTTACACGAATGATCTTCGAAAAATGCATCATGAAACTCGACTCACATTCATGAAGTGAAATTTGCTTCATATAAGCCTCAAAACATGCAAATTTCCCTAAGGTCATCAATAAATGACGAATATTTCACACAAAAAAGTGCCTCATTTACAAATTTTTGACGAATATAACACGTTTTAAACAAGACACGTTTTGAAAAATCCAACGACTGTTTTAACTGTAAAAAGTAAAAAGCGCTAAAGAATGATCATCATTTTGGACTGAAAAAAAAACTCTGACATCTTAAGACTAGGAAAGAATTTTCTACACAGCATTCTTTTTTCACAGTAGCTTACTTATGCTGGCTTACTCATCTTTTTGAAGATTTCAATTACAGCAGAATATGTTCCAGTCGAGAAACCAATGAAAGCAAAAAGTAACAATGCTGAATCGATTAACCAAACTTTCAATTGCAATCTACCTTGCGAATATGTAATCTGAAAAACTGCGAGGTTACTTAAGACAAATGTGTTTGTGAGAAAACGCTAGCAGTTTTTTGAACCTAAATATTGAAAAATTACAAATAATCTGGTCAGAAAATTATTTAATAAATTACGAGAAGATCGATGAAAGGTGGAAACAATAAAGCCATCAGAGATCCAGAAAATGCTCCAATGAGTGAGATAAATAAAGCAAGATGAGGAATGAGTTCGGCAAATGCACCTAAAGGCAAAAAGAAATATTAACTCATTAATTTGTGTTTCTTTGATTAACATCATGAATTTAACATAATTAGAACCATTTATATTTTCATATATTAACGGATTTTCATGAACAAGAACTTTTAGTATCAAGCGTTAAAAAATAAACTAACATGTAAAAAGTACGATTCCGTATCGAGCAAAATAAATGTATTTGGTTTGATTTTCAGCTGGAATTTTTCTCGTCACCCATTTTTCTATTCGTTCCATTGGAATGTAAAATTGTAATGGGTAAGAAACCATTACACACAATGAAAAAAGAAGTTTTACACCTTGATACAGCCTAAAAACGCAAAAAAAACCTAATTTTTTTGAACAAAAAGAAATTATAATATCTAATGTATAAAATTTGCAGTAAAGGCAACAAATAAAATCCTTCAAAATAATTCAAGATAAAGAATTACAACTTACGGTCCCGGCGGTAAATTTAAGGTAATTGTGTCGGCAACCTTATCACCGACTGCAAGATAACCATAAAATCCCATCACAGCAAATATAGACAAAACAACAAAACATGAACAATTCAATACTCCATTCCATTTGATGAAAAGTTGTGGTTGATCCATTCGATTTTCCACCGGCAGAACCTTCAACAAATAAATCATTCACAGTTCGCAATTTATATGGTAATCGAATACACTTTGTATTCCAAAATATTTTTCGAATGAAACAATAGGTTAGTTAAAAATGGAACACATATAATAAATCTGCAAAAAATCCTCCCATCTATGTAGTGATGAAAATGTGGAAATCAATTCACCAACATCGGCTTTCAAAATAAAAATGAGCAAGTAAATGTTCTGTAAAATTTTACCTTCCTAATTTAAAGTAAAATAACTTCTACTGAGCACTAGAAAAATAAAGGTTCAAATATTGAATAGTGTGTACCATACCACGGCAATTCCCTCAAAAGCGAAGAGTACTGTCCCAAAATAAAGTGGAATGTTTTGAATTTCACCGATAACTGGGAAATCAGATGCCGGTTTCAAATGAGTGAAAAAGAAATATAATAAAATAATAACAGCAGCTGCAAAAATAATGTGTGAGAGAAAGGTTATAAATTAGCTTAAAACTAAAACTAAGAACTGAAGCTAAATTCGTGTGATTAATATTTGGAAAGATTAGGCATAAACTTACTGATGTATAAACAATTTGCAGCAAATGCAAATGGAGCTAGCTTATTCAGATGACGAAGTGAACAAATGGATAGTATAGGTATAAGCAGAAGTACCATCCAAACTGATTTCGGCAAATGAATTGTCGTATTCATATCAAAAAACTGCAAATAATAGAATGGAATAATATAATAGAAAAAAATAAGTTCGATTGCTTTAATAATTTTGTTTAAAAATATTTAAACATTTAGAGAGAAAAACATACGCTATGCAAATTTTCAGCCATAAATACAAAATATACACAGCAGAAACCGAGTTGCGCACAAAACATATTTACATTTAATAGTTGCCTGCAATAAACTGATTTTAAAATTACATAGAATAACAAAAAAATTGCATAACTCATGAACGCATGTCACTACTGTCCATTCCATTTTAAGTTGGTATCCATTCAACCAACTTAAAATAAAATTAATATCTTATAACTTTATCAAAATAAATAAGTTACTTGAAAAAATATCCATATCCACTGATCCATGCTGGTCCATTTTCTACAGCACTTCGCATAACGTTTGCATAATCAATCACTTCTCTCCCACTTCTGCAGGAAAAAAAGCTGATTTTGTAGTTACATAATCACAATATATATATATACATTTTTTTTTCAACGGATCAAAATTAAAATTAAGAAAATTTTGCAAAACTTTTCTGCAACCTCACATTTTTCTAAACACAATGTTGAAAAATTCTTTTTTCGGAAACTTCAATTTTTTCTAAAACAAAGCTAAAAACGAACCTTCGGCAGACATAATGCGCAGCATATACAACCAATCTCATGCAATACAGGCATATGCAACACAATACAACTATCATGACCAAGCCAAACTTTAAAATACATTCAAATACACAATAAAATTATGTTCAAGACAAAGTGGAGCAGTATTGCTAACAAAGTGGCTATCTTGATAATAATACTATGAATTTTTCTGCTATATATTCCATACTAAAATCCTTATGTTTTACATTTTTAAGCTTGAAAAACCTGTGAAACATTGAGCTCTGAGGCAAATGCGTTAAAAGTGAAAGTATTCGTCATTGCTATAGTATACAGTGATTTGTATTTTTTTTTATCAAATCGAATATATCCATAACGAATATTACCCAAAGTCCAGCATGCTTGAAGGCCAAAGGCAGAGAAAGCAGTCCCGTACCTAGCATAGCTTTTACCATGTGAGCAAAAGCTTGTTCAGGGCTTAAACTATTAGCATTCTTGACTCGATCCCCAAATAGATAACTTTCTTCATAACCGACTATGGTTCCATCATTGGACAATGCAATTGCATTTGAAGCACTCGTTCTTGTCTCCTCGTCCGGCATTACCTGAAAGCGACGCTTACTTACATTGCATACGATATTCTGTTTCATTACACATATCACTTTTGCATCTTACTTGAAAAGGACACATTAAATATTTGATGTAAAAGAAGCAAACAAATCTAATGCCAAAAATAGGCAGTCAGTAATCTGAATTTAAAAGAAGGACTTGCAGTTGGAACAGTCTGAAGTTGAGGATCAACAGCTATGGACATCTCTGAAACATGTTCATTCATAGAGATTTTACTTCATCTCATTTCATTCACGTGACCCTCAACTTATTTCTTCCTAAAATACGAGTCACAAACAAAAAAATAATTAAGCATTCTCAAGCTTATGATTCATCATTGCCATTGTTAGTCATAACAACATAATAGAAATAATAAAATTTAGATTTGCGCTGTTCTTGCATTCGGTGGTTTTTTTCGCATAAGAATCCAACAAAAATTATATATCATTTCAAATTTGAATTTCCATTTTTCGCTCCGTCAACAACTCTGATGCATAAATGATTAAAATATCGTTGAACTGAACTAATTAATTTTCACGACAGTACTAGCTGTTTTGTGCAAGCATTTGAAAATGTCATGCTTATAATATAGCAGTAATATTAATTGAAAGCAGAACATCGCCTGTTAAGCAAGAAAGCCGATGAAATGATCTAATCTGATCTAATTTGATTTGATCTGAAATTGCATGGCATTAAATCATTTTTCATACCACACAATTCATGGCTGAGCCTTCTACTTTCTTACCACTTCGCATTATTTCATTACCAGTAGTTGAGTTTAAAAAATAAAATTGCGCATGATGGATGGGTTCGTTTGATCAAAACAGGTCACTGTACAATTCTCTGTTATTTATTTGCTCCTCGTTTTCACATAGATGCGTACAAATTCTTCACTTAAAACACTTTAATAAAATTAATCGCTCTTCAAGCAAATGTTTTAAGATTAATTTCAAGACACTGTCTGACTTTTCAAATGCATTTTCTATTCACACTGTATAAGTGCAATAAGTCTTGTCCAATGACAATTTTTGATTAAATTAATTTCAATGTTGCAAACTTTTTTTTAATAATTTTCGAATTACAAAATAATAATGAGTTTTGTTAAAATATATGTAAAGGACAATAATAGACTGCCATTTTTGCTCATTTATGACAATACACTAAGTGTTTAATGAACAAATTAACCCCTCAGTATTATTTTTGTTGCACAGAGGTTATTTGGATGATTACTTATTTTAGTACTCTTCAAGTGATACTAATTACTGCTGCTTATCAGTATAAGTCATGCAAATATTTGATATACTTCTGACTACAAAATTCCACTTCTCAATACTTGTTAATTCAGCTGATCTCAATCAGTTTCTGGTCGTGATGGTTATGCATGATGGATTTAGCAAATTTGAATGCAATTACATGAATTATTGACAGTAAATAAGCAGTATACTTTCAGTGCATATTTGTAGCAATAAAAATTTGCTTCTACTTTAAGAAAAGAGCTATTAACGTAAAAGATTAGTTAAGTAATTAGCACGTATCACGTATTAACCGCAATAAATTCCATATTTCCTTCATTACACATCTCTTTATGTCAATTCATTCAATGTTGCTCTAATTTACAGGTGTAATTTTGTTCAGCTTTAATTTATTTTTAAGCATTAATTTAATTTTGATTAAAAATTAGATTTTGGATGTGATTTGCTGCTGCCAATACCGATAACCTTTCCTGACATGAATTTTAAATCGTATCTTATTGTCAGGACAAAAGTGATTCAATTCAGCTTCGAATTGCATTGTCATATCCTTTTCGTGATAACCCAAATAATTCTTGTCTTCACTACGTGAATAATTATTCACTGAGTCACAGCGATTTTACACTATTGATCATTTTCACTTCTAAAATATTACTTTTCACATTTTATTTGTTTCCTTATTTTTTCTTTTTTTTAAATTAATTTTTAGGATTATTTTTTGAAAGATTATTCCATCGGATATTATTATTGTTATTGTTATTGTTAAGTTAACGATTGGTATGTGAAAATAAAATGTCAGCACAGACTAATTCATTCAGTGTTTGAGTACTTTTCTTGTTGGAAATGAATTAATTTCAAGTGCTCATGTCGATAAAAGTTGAATTTGCTCCTCGCGCAAGTTTAGATGAATGCTTACAAATTAATCAGCTTCGCAACAAACTTACTGATCAGTTACAACCTGATGGCATACCTAATGACCTTAATACAGATTTAAATTTGCTACGCTGGATACGTAGCTTTCATGGAAATTTTGAAAAAATTACGAAAGTTTGTTTACTATTTTAATAATCAGTAAGCTAATTTGACCTCTTAATATAATTAAAATCTTCGAGTGTTTGCATTTAATTCTGATAAAATTGCAAAGAGTTTTGATCACTTAAAATTACTTATACTTTGCTTGCATCTTAAAACTATAATAAATTATGCAAAAAATGATGGGAGAGTTTGATGAGTAGAATATTGCAGAATTTTTGTGCATATGTGGAATCTCGGAAAGCAGCTGGCTTCGATTCAGAAAATTTACCAGAAACTTTCTTCCAGCTGCCACATATTAAGCCATTTTTATTACTTGTAGCAGCGTCTCGTTTACATGACAAACTTTGGGTAGATGAACGGAATGCATTTATATTTCTGGAACGAGCGTGCGATCAACCGAAAGAAGTCAAATTTTGCTTGCTTTATTAATTTGTTGGAATTGTATAAAAGTTTGAGTTTAATTCTAACAATTTTGATTTCTCTCCAAAGTCAATTAAGTTTATTAAACTTGCAGTTTATCAAAACGTTGAGGTGCAGTAATTATCAGTTGCATTGCTTTGGGTATTCTGAACTTCTCCTGCAAGTAAGTGTTTAACTTTAATTTATACAATTATAAAGCAAAATTAGAATAATAGATTGTAGTCTATATCTTACATCTTTTAGCTTGTTTTACGACGGGAAAAGAATCAAAGTGCTGACAAAGGTCCTGTACAGATTATCGTTCTCTTCGATTTGGCTTTAGTACATCTAAAAGATTACATTAATTTGCACAGTACTCACATGAAATATTGGCAAATGCGTTGCAATTTATGGCAAGATTGGTAGATACTTAATCCATTTATTGACTAATAAAATTAATGCTTGGTTAGAAGTTCGTAAATTTCAATAAAATGGAAAAATAAAGATCTTAATGTTTGAAATAGACAAGCAAAGCATATAATTTCAGGTATCCTGGATTAGCACAGAAAATTTACCTTCTTAATCCACCTCGACTATTTTCTACTGCTTGGAAATTTGCTCGGTTGTTTTTGCACAGAGACAATCTGGAACTGATTGAATTTATTACAAATCATAAAGATTTACAAAGCTATTTACCTTCTTGCGTTATTCCTCGAGAATATGGAGGTCATACTATTTATTTAATTTGATGAATTCAGTAGTAAATCTTTGCGAAATTTTAATTAAATAATATTTTATGCGAAAATTATTTTTTAAATTGTGCTTTTGAATGATTAAATATTCATAGTTGCAAAATTCAGTATTTTCAGGCGAATTTGTGAATAAAATGATGTTGGATATATGTGATGAGAGTGGCTTAAGCCTACGGAAGAAAATTTCTCCTGAAAATTATATTAAGGAAAATGAATTATATCGAATCAAAAAAATTGAGCCACCGAAATTAAAAAGAAAAGTATTTTATCTCATAATATCATTTATTTCTGTCATGTTACTATTGAAAAATTATAGTTTTAAGTCTATGAAATTAATTTTTTGATTAATTTCAGGAAATTTTGGCTGACTCAGTATTTGTAGAAAGTATCACCTTACCCGATAATCATACTGTATTACTTTGGAGTTTTACTTGCTCTCATGATATTGAGTTTACAATTTACGATCGAAAAAAACGATTACTGTATCCGCGATTTCATTTGTTCACAACAAACTTACCTGAAGAAGGCATTCTCGAAAATTTAACTCCGAATTCGGAGTTTTTTTTTGAATTTCGAGCAACTGCACATTATTCCAATACTCAACTTGACTATGCCATTTGTTCAACTTTTTAGTCATTGATTGACCTTATAAGTTTAAATGTAATTTAGCCTCGTAATTAGTCTAAGAAAAACACCCAGTATAACTAATTCACTATTATACCTTGATAATAATCATAATAAATCTCTTCAAATTATTAACTAATCGTTAAATACTACCATATTAGTACTAAAGACTATTAATGCCACTGCCAAATTCTTATTTACAAGATTTATCCTGTAACAGTACTGATTTAGACGCTTTGAAGATTTTTAAAATGAAATTTGCATTTAGTGTTTGCTTATAAAAGCCAGTTTTACTTTTTTTGAAAAAATTTAATCGGATTTTTTTATAATATACAGTAATATCATGATCATTTATCACAATGAACAAAGCAAAATTGCAAGAGAATCAAAGTTACAGTTAGCAACGATTACAGTAACACTCTGCATATATCCTTTATACACAGTCGTAGGAATAGACACAAAATTAAAATTATTCACAGTACTTCAGTTCATAAATTGGATTTTGAGATTCGAACTACAAATCTAAATTTATATCAAAAATAATTTGCTGATGCATTCTTTCCACAGAAGCTACCATTAATTTTGAACAAAAAAAGAGAAAGGAGCGTGACTAATTGCTGAAGTATTAATAATGTGACAGTCTGAGTGAAACATGAATTGTCACGAGGAAAGTATATTTAATATATATAAATGAATATAATAACTGTTGTTTTTTCTCCGATTAATACATTTTTATATTATAACCTCAAAACTTGAGATTTGTTATCATCACTGAGTGGCACTGACTCTGAAGATAACTCATTCGACGAAACTCCACTGCTTGCCGACGATTCCTCAAAAGATCAAGAAAATACAGTACATCAACTACGTCAAAAAATACTTTAGAACATTCAATTGACTTTTTTCTTTCTTTTCTCTCAGTTATTGCAATCACACAATTTTCTTTGCTTTTATTTTGGTCAAATTTTCAGCATTAAATTTTTTTTGACGTTTTTTCGCTCTATTCATAAGTATCACGCTTGTACTCAAAGTATGACTTATTTTACAATTAATCTTATCACATAAGCATTATAACCACAGTTATATTCCTGAAATATTACTACAAACAATTAGATTTAATAAATGCTAACGTTAAAGTATTAAAATGTAGTAGAAATTATTTTAAATCCAAATTCATGGCAATAAATTGTTTAAAAGCTGAACTTTGCTTATTACAGTAAATTCAGAAATATTGGTACTCTCACTCTGCCTACCTGATCAAGATTCTGGAGGATTTTATCGGGAAAAGTGCCACCGCGACTTGAAATATCATCATAATCATCATCATAATCTCCATCAGTACTACCCGTAGCTAGCAGACCTTTCCTTAGCACAACTAATTTGATAGGTTTTCCAGCTGCTTCAGTGACTAATTTTGTAAACATTAAGGGCGACCGAAATGCCTGTCCAGGCATTTCATTAATTTCCAAAAAACTGAAACATCATTTCTTGATTTAGTTACTTTTCTATTAATAATTTTTAACTTATTGAGTCAAAGGTCAAAAGAAAAAAATTTATAAATTAAAAATACATGCAAATCGCAATTTACCAGTCTTGTTCTTTTAACGGTATATTTGCACCATTGACTTTGGTGACTTGCAAACAACCAAATCTTCCCTCAGCTACCGTTATATCTCGAGCAGTTAGTGGTGTTTCTACTGCTACTACTTTATCATAACTAGTTGATCGAACTAGTCTAAAGAGTGGTACTCGAGGCTTATTCTTCTGCTAAAAGTGAATTCTTAACCATCAATAAATCAGTTCAAACAAATATTTGCATAAATATTATAATTATTGTAAAACAAAAATAACCCGATTGCACTTCGAAGTAATTTAATTCTGAATTTCAAGGTACCTAAAAATACTTTAAGTTTGATGCTTATTGCTATCACATTTGTTCGTGCACCATAATAATAATCAGACAATTAGAAAATAAATAATTGAATCAAAAATACTTTAGGTTTGATGTCGTTCGCAGCATTTGCCACACACAGTGGAATTTTCACGTCTCGATCTTTTATTATTTGTAGTTCATTCATTATTTTTGTTCTTGTTTTTTCTTCCAATACACCCAATTGTTCTTTAATCAAAAGAAAATATTTACAATTATTTAAAGTTTGCAAAAACTTTCAATAAAATTGTTCAATAAAGTTGTCTGTAAATTTCGTTCCTTGCATAGACTGATTAAATATTTGATAGTTCAAATCTGTGACAGTAACCATTCTATAGGAACTTACGCGACACAGTAATAAATTTTTGTATTCATTTGATTGTATTTCAAGTATTATTCTTATGAAAGTTGACAGGAAGGTAATATTTTTTGGAGTGCTAGCAACGTTTTCTATTAGAAATAAGGCAAACCAAGTGAACTTTTGTAAACTTCATAAATGAATATTATGCAACAAATACATTTTTTTAACGTAAACATACCAAGAATTTCATCGTTCCACCGATCCACATCTGTTCCATTGATATCGTATCCAATCATTATCGATGCAACATCATCCAATTTACAGTGCTGCAACCACAGTAGTACATCATCTAAGCTCCATTTCTGTAACATAAAACAGTTATTCAAAATAAACAGTAAGTACTCATTCAATTAACTTATTAATCAAGAAAACTGCTGTACATTCTATTATATTAGTGAAATAGACTTATTTCTCTGCATGTCATATTTTAGTTTAGTACATTCAATTCTATACATTAGTACATAGAATTGAAGTAATTCAAATGTATACATGTACACATGTATTCAACTCGTGATTTATTTTTTAAATTAATATGTTTAAAATAAGCATAAAATTGAACTTCTTGATGCTAGCTTAAGTCGTCACTTTTAGCTTTGCATGAAAAAACATTTGTCTAATTACTTTTTGGGAGTAAATTTACAATAATGTGACTTACTTTAATTACTTTTATTAACATAAAAATAGATTTCTAAACAAATTCTTTTCTATATTTAAGAAACGTTAATGAACATACAGTCAAAGGTTTTTGTTTCCATAAAGCTGCTTGCTTTTTCTCACGTGCTCTACGCGTACGATTTTGTGCTCGATACCCTTCTACACTCTTAGACAGAGTAGTGGTAAGACTGGGCATTCTTAGATCTGGACAACTTTTTCGTAAAACTGATCTAAAAAATCATTTTCCATCAAGTAATTACTGATTATCATTTTGAGATATAGTTTTTATCATCAGAAAAACTTTCTTAATAAGTTCAACAAAAGAAGTTTGATTTAATTTGAAAATATTGAGTTTAAAAGTTTGTTAATGATGCTTCTAATATTTAAAAAACGGACTGCTGTAGATGATCACTACACGAATTCATAGATGATGGACTTGAATCCGATGTTTCCGTGCGATACGCAGAATCCGCGTCGATTAGTAAATTTGCTGCAATATATATATTTTTTTTAAGTATTAGTAATAAGTCCTTTAGATGACATACTTGAGCAAATAATTATTAGCTCATTATGCGATTAAAAATGTATCTATAGAATTTCATTATGCGATTAAAAATGTATCTATAGAATTTTTAAGCAACGAACTTGAATTAAGTAGAAGGGAGATAAACAGATTACATTAAAAAATTTATATAAAAATTATATTTGTTCCATAAAAATAAGCAAAACAAAAACTTTGTCCCATTTTTAATTTTTATAAAAGCTGATTGATAAGATCAATAATTTTTTTACAATTTCAGCAAGTTTTAGTCTAATGAAATCTAATCAATTCCGTATTTTCTGATATAGCTGCGTGATTCTGAATACCTGCATAATTCAGGTAAACTAGAATATATAGTATAGAACAAGGAAAATAGATCTTTATGCAAATTGGAAAAATGATTTGCCTTGAAGAGCTTCTAAGAATGACAGAATTGAGTATGAAAGTTCTTGAAAAACGTTATTTTATTAATTTGCTCTACTCATATCTGGTTAATACTCAACTTAATAAAATAACATTATTGGCATAATTAATAATAACAATATTGATGATTAATCTGTTCACATGTCTTCATGGCAAATATTTTTAGAAGAAGAAAATATTTGAAATTGGAAGTACTAACAAAGTGATGGTGGTGGCGTTGGGGAACGTACCTCCGCAGAAGACGAAATATCTGAAGTCTGCTTAGAAAGTTCAACCTTGACTCTCTGAAACGAAGTAGTACTTGAATTTTGCACAAATGCCTAAAGTTCCATATAATAATTGAAATAAAATAATAAATCACCGAAATTTGAATAATCCCACGTTAAGATAAACTAATATTCATTTGCTGTCACTTGAATTATCTCATTGTAATTTAATTACATCCAATTATGCAAATTTAGAATGTAATTTATCAAATTCAAAGTGTAATTATGAAACATAGAGAAGTAATTATGCAAATTAAGACTGCATGCGCATATAGTATATGCAAGCCGGATTACTTTTTCACGCAACAAATTTATTAAATTAATAAAAATATGCAATTAATCAAATTTAATTTGACAAAATAATTAAAATAAATTGTAAAAATAGTTGGGAAAAAGACATTTATTTTCATTCTTACTTTGTAAATAAACTGAAATAGAGAAAATAAATGCACAATTACTTCAACAACGGGACGATGCCATTGCAACTGCCGTCGAATAGGCCCAACCGATTTGATACCTCCGAAACGTCTCATCAGACCAAAATAAGACTCATCTGAATTCAATGCAAGTTCAGAATCGATATTTCTAATTTGAAATCGATAAAATTTTTAATTTCATTATATATATATATATAT